AGAGAGAGAGAGAGAGAGAGAGAGAGAGAGAGAGAGAGAGAGAGAACCAGAGATCAGAGAGAGGAGTAGGTTTTATGTGTCATAGGAAGGGAGATGCCATAGCCTATGCCTGAGTGTTGGTATTGCAATTGAAGGAGGAGACCGTGCTCTGTTCAAGAAGGCTGGTGTTGCATGTTTGGTGTTGTTCTCCCAAGGCCAGTGTCCGAGTAATATTAACTCAGGGAGGGTTATTCTGAATTGGCCAGGTGTTGTGAGATTGGAGAGCTGCTACACCAGCGGTCGGTGATAGGAGGGTGGCAGGGCTGGAGGGGGCGACTCTGGTGGATGAAGAGCAAGGAGAACAACACATTATCTACCCACCATTATATTGGCATTTGGACTTGTACTGCATGCCAAGTCATTTTTTCCTTTGGGCCTTCTCTGCAATCAGACTCGCTTTCTTCTTCACTTCGCATACATGCAAACAGATGGCAATTCACACTGGCGCCAGGCGCCCACTCAAAGCTCAGAGATATGGAAACCAAAAGCACAGTTCAGATGCAAACTCGCCTCATCCAGCTATGGCGCAACAGCGCCCGTACACCCAACTCTCGTCACTGTGTTTCCAACACCACTGTTCGCATGTACTCCACTCTGGATCCACCTGAATACTCCACGCACCCGTACTCGGTCTCACACACACACACACTCTAGCCTCTATCTCTAACCTATGGCGGCTATGGCCGCTCGCTACCACTATGGCTATGCTATCTTCTTCTTGCCCACTTCGGCTTCGTGCGCTCTGCAGACCACCTCGCACAAGACGCTGGGGCAGCGCTTCTGCATGGCTTACGCAGCGAATGAATGAATGGCTGGGCGCTGCCTCTTGATTTATACTTCTGTAACTCGTTGGTCTGCCCCTTTCCCAGGCCCTTGGTGCACACAGTCCCACACGGTACTTGCTTGACTGGACTCTGACTGACTGGGACCGGTACTGCTGACTGCATGGGTTTGCACTGCCAACTTGATGCAGTCACACTGCCGACGTAAGACAGTTGGGCTCACCACTTGCCCACTTGCCTCTGGCCAAACGTGAGGCAACTTCGAAAGGCCACTTCCGGACCTTCCGGAAGTCTGCGGACTTGGCCTTTCGAGTACTGTAGCAGCTACGACCTTGACTCTACGACCTTGACCTTTCAGCTACGACCTCTACAGAGCTCTGACTCCTAATCGACAGACCTACAGATCGAACCCCTACCACTACACAGACCTACGACAGCCGACAAACAACTACCAAAGCGCAGGTCACGGGTTCAAACACTCGGGGGTCGACTCGATATTGTACATGGGCAAAGTGAGGTCTGGGAATCGAACTCTAGGGCCCGCATCTGTGACTGCAGAAAGGTGAAAACCGATTCACTCCTGCCGGCCTAAATTCGAGGTCCTCTGAGAATACTTCAGTCTAAGGCAGGACCTTTACTCTTCTTATCTCTTTCGTAGGCTTGGACTATATCGGGCGCTGTCTCTAGAAGTTCTGTTCGTGTGAACCAGCGGTCGTCGTCTCGCTCTTAATAGGCAAACCTGACTTTGTACTGTTTCTGGGGACGATCTCTACCTCCTGTCCTGAAGACATCCTCACCTACTATCCCTTCAATGTCATATCTTCCATCCATATCTGGAGGAATCATAGATCTACGTGATGGAAGCTGTTGACTTGTGACGCAAGGCAACAACTTTGACGCATGGAATACTGGGTAGATGTGGAGGTGTGCTGGAATCTCAATAGTATAGGACGGCCCATCCTCTCCGCTCTTCACTTTTAAGACTGGCCACGGTCCTCTATACGCAGGTAGTAATTTTTGTGAGATGTTCTCCTCAGGAGCAAACTCTTTTGACTTAACCCAGACTAAGTCGCCTACTTGAAACTGTGAGGGCCGACGATGCTTATTAGCTTGCTCTATCATTCTATGCTGGGCTTTCCTGAGGTTGTCTACAACGGTAGCTATCTCTTTCTCGTGCTGTATCGCAAATTCTCGTGTACCGGGCGGTAGCCTCTGGATCTGATCCCCGTTAAGTCCCTCGAACGGTCTCCGCGGTCTAAAAGACTTGTGTAGTTTGTTGGGGGTGTGACACGTAGATAAGTGCACACTATTATTATATGCACTGGCTGCCTTAGGGAGCATCTCATCCCAGTTGATCTGGTCGGGCCTAATGTACATTCTAAGAACTTGCTGCAGGAGCTTATTCATCTGTTCAGTTTGATCGTTAGTCTCTGGATGACGGCCAGATGACATCAGCAACTTTGAGCCATAGACTTTCATCCATACTTGCGGCGCATTAGTGCGGTGCGCGATGCGGTGCGCTGCGCCGTGCGGCATGCGCGTGGTGACACCGCGCGCGCATGTGCGCGCGCACGCGCACGAGGTGCGCCGTGCGCGCATCGCATGGGGACGCGTTACCACTGCAAGGTGCGCACTGTGCGCGATGCCTATTTTCGGGGTGTGTGTGTGTGTGTGTGTGTGTGTGTGTGAGAGAGAGAGAGAGAGAGAGAGAAGAACCGTGTGCTGACACTATCAGACCGACCGAAGAAACCGCCCTTATCAACGGGCAACATGAATCTGGAAGCGGGACGACATGTACAAAGGACAAAAAATATGGTGGTGTATCTTTCCGTGTTCTGGCGGTAGATTCATTCATACGTTGGGTGGTGGAGAGCGAAGGGCCGATGAATCACGTAAGCACGTAACGTATCTCTGGAACCTTTCTTTTTTTTTTTTTGGAGAATGGGCCTCGCCACACCTATCCCGAAAACATCGATTTGGAGAGAAGCATCGCCATACCAACTCTCCAAAATCGGTGTCAGAAAAAAATTGGAGAGCGTCCAGAACGTGGGTTTCGGGAGTGCTCTCGAATTTTGTGGATCGCCCCGCCTGCAACACACCGGTTTTGAGGAGTGGTCCGAGGCTCCTCCGATTTCGCCCCCAAATTGGAGAGTGCGCCTCGACCGACAAATGTCTGCTGCCACCGTTTTGTCTGGGTTCGCCACACCACTCTCGAAATGTGAAAAAGACAAAAAATGTGGCGGGTGCATCTGGCCATGTTCTAGCGAGAAGTTCATTCTCATTTTGCACATTTCGAGAGTGGTGTGGCGAGGCCCGTCGTCTGCGCTCTCCAGAAAATTTCGGGCCTCTTCTGAAGAATTGGAGACTGCCACCTTGGAGAGCGCAGTGTGGCGGCGAGCCCTCTCGAACGGAAAATTCACATCCTCCTTGTTGGAGAGTGCTCCTGAACTTTTTTGCGTTTTCGGGATAGGTGTGGCGAGGCCCAATCTCTGAACAAATGAGACTGAATCCTCCGCTTGAACATGGAAAGATACATTGCCATATATGTCTTGTAATGCATGTCGAGAGTAGTGCGGCGAGCCCGTTGGTAAACATTACCGTTGATGTTCTGACAGGTTGGACGCACCGGGCTTCACTCGTGCAAAGAGCTGTTCTTCCTTTACGTTTTTTTCCTTTTATTAAACAAAAAAAAAAAATCAGGACAAACGGCTGCCAGTTCCGTCGTTTTCTACGTCAGAAGTAAGGTCCTCGCCACACCACTCTCGAAATGTGAAAAAGACAAAATGTGGCGGGGGCATCTGGTCGTGTTCTTATGGGAAGTTCATCCCCATTTTGCAAATTTCGAGAGTGGTGTGGCGATGCCCTAATACGAAGAGAACGTTTTGAGAGATCGCGACCCTCATCAT